GAGGCGGCCGGACCCGAGCCCGGGCCGCGACCCAGCCCGCAGTCGGCATCCAGCCGCGGGCCCGGCCCCGCCCTCTCGCGCGCGAGAACTGGCGCTTCCCAAGTTTCTCCGCAAACTTCCCTGGGCGCCGTCACTCTCGCTCGTGGCCTTCGTTGGTCTGGGAAATCAGGTCGCTGCCTAGACCTGCTGAAGACTTCTTCGGACCTTTGGCCCATCCCCAGGGCCCCGTAGCGCTGTCTTAACAGAGTAGATCAACATCAATGTTTGTTGAATGAATGGGTGGAAAACTGACCCCCCCAGCGTTCCCTCGGTGGAAGAAATGTTAAATTCCCACCCAAGGAGGAAAGCTGGGCTAGACACAAACTTAGCGTCGTGGGCCCTGACCCTACTGTGACCTCAGTGATTCAGTGACCCTACAGTGACTCAGTGATTTTGCTTTTGCAAAAATCATTTTCTTTTTCCCACCAGAGTGAACTGAAGCGACCTTATTTTTTTCCAGGATAGTTTGCATGTGAAGTATTTTGATTTTGCATCCTGATTTTGTTTTGAAAAATGAGATGGCAGTTCTCAAGAAGCACTGTAGAGGTCTGTGTATAGATAGAAGTTGCTGGGTTGAAAAAAATTTTTTAAATATTTTAAAATTGATGCATAATGGAGGTCCATAGTTTCAGGGTATATGTGAAGTTTATTATATTCATATAATTTTTAAAGCTCAAATCAGTGTACTTGGGATATCCTTCAGTTTAAATAGTTGTCTTTATGCTAGAATCATTCCAATTCTTCTAGCTATTTTGTAAAATACAACAGATTATTTTAAACTATAATCACCCTATAGTTATATGATATAGTTAACACTAGGTTTTATTTCTTCTATCAAACTGAATATTTGTACCCATTAATCAACTTCTCTTCATCATCCCCCCAACTTTTTTTTTAATAGATTGCTTACTGGGTTGGAAATAGCATTTTGAAAAGTTATGATGCTGAAATGCAGAGTAAGTTTCATGTTCTAGAGTTATCTTAAAGCATAAAAATAACTTCAGTGTTGAGAATTCTCAAACTTGACACAAAGAACTAGACTTCTACTCTCTATTAATTTTAAATTTTATTTCTTTTTTAATAGAGACAGGAGCTTGTTCTGTTGCCCAGGCTTGTCTCAAACTCCTGGGCTCAAGCAGTCCTCCTGCCTTGGTCTCCTAAATGCTGAGATTACAGGGATGAACCACCACCCTCAGCCTAGACTTCTGTTCTCTAGATTGAAACAAGAAGCTGCAAAACATTCCCGAAGCTTCCCCCCAATTTGATTATTTTGGTGATCCACTGAGTAGTATTCAGTTGGCAGCAAAGCATGAAATCCTGGCTTGGAAAACCCTTTTCTAGGCGATCCTTTTCTCCTTTTTCTACAGTATTCCTGGCCTAGGCTTATCTAGTTTAAGGCTGGGCAACAAAATTACTGAGACTCATGATCTATTGGAGTGCTCACCCCTGTTTATCAACTGTGTAGAAAAGTTTATGTTTAGCCAAAAGTTGGTCTTTGTACCTACTACTTTTTGTGGAGCCAGAGGATGAGTCTGATGGTGGCCTTTGGCCTTTTTCAAGTCGACTAACATTCTTTTGGAGTCTTCTCTCCACTAGGCCAAACATCCTCTATTCCCATAGTTAGTCCTCATAGACATGATTTAAGGCCCTCTGGCATCCTGTCTCTTCAGTTTCACTGAGTCCCTGCAGGAAACAGAAGCCCAACTTAGTTGGAATCTTGGAAATAATTTAGTGAAGGGACTATTTACAGAGCTGTGGGTGGGGTTAAGGAAACCAAGAAAGGATGCTAAATGTAATGTTAGACCCCCAAAGACCTCAAAAGGGAAGGCACCGTGTCAGAGAGGCCAAAGAAATGACTTAGAGACAGTGGATGAGACTTGGGCTTTATTTAGGAACTAACTTACAGGGAAGGTGATCCATGAGCAGCCAGCTTGGCCGAAAGAAACCGCTCCCGATTATAAAAGGCACACAGGCTGGGCTCGGTGGCTCAGCCTGTAATCCTGCGCTTTGGGAGGCTGAGGTGAGTGGATTGCCTGAGCCCGTGGGTTCGAGACCCGCCTGGGCAGCGAGACCTCATCTCTACAATAAATCAAAAATCAGCTGGGCGTGGTAGCACATGCCTGTAATTCCAGCTACTTGGAAGGCTGAGGCGGAAGGATCGCCGGAGCCCAGCAGGTCGAGATTGTGGTGGCCGGGAGCGGCCACTGCACTCCAGTCTGGGCGACAGAGTGAGATTCCAACTCAAAAAAATAAAAAATAAAAATAAGTAAAGAAATAAATAAAAGGCACACGAACTATATAACATTTTCCATAGGGTAGAGTGCAGGACTTAAGCATGAAAGGGCAGGGTATCTTAGTGTGCAGGCATAGTGAGATGTTCTTATGCATACGCTACATGTACACAAAATGTGAATTCTCTCTAGGGGTGGGATTTGTAGTATTATAACTAAGTAAAGGTAAGCAAAGGTTATGGGCATTGGTCTAGGCATGCCCAATCTGGTCTGAAGCAGCCCCAGGGGGTGACTGCCTCAAGGAAGGGTGCACGAGAATATTCTCTATGCATTGCTGCAGATATGGACAGCAGGTACAGAGAACACTTCACCTGTGGCCTCAGCATGACATGTGTGCCCAGGCATGGAGCCTGAGGGGAAGGGGACATCCTGGATTGGCAACCCCCAGGATGCCTCCTCAGGCTCTAGCCTTCTGCTTGGGGCCATATCTAGGGTATGTCCCTGTTGCCACTGATTGTGTGTCGCCCTACACAGGAGTTCCTAGGGACTAGCAACAATGGGAAGCTGTTACTACCCCTAGGCCTGAAGGTGCAAGGAAGCAAGAAGGAACCCATTAAAAACTGGAACTGTGGAAGAGGGACTGCCGAGCAGGAACTGTAGTCATCCAGGGATGCACCCACTCAGAAGTATGCAGATAGGGCCGGGTGTGGTGGCTCATGCCTATAATCCCAGCACTTTGGGAGGCTGAGGTAAGAGGATTGCCTGAGCCCACAGGTTTGAGACCAGCCTGGGCAACTTGGTGAGACCTTATCTCTACGATAAATCTAAAAATCAGCCAGGTGTGGTGGCACATGCCTGTAGTTCCAGCTACTTGGAAGGCTGAGGTAGAAGGATCAACTGAGTCCAACAGGTCAAGGCTGTGGTAGCCATGAGTATGCCACTGTCCTCCAGCCTGGGCAACAGAGTGAGACTCTGACTCAAAAAAAAAAAAAAAAAAGTATGCAGATGGAGCAGGACAAGGGCACAAGAAATGCATGTTCTACACATTCTCTCTCTTTCTGCCCTTGCAGATGCTGGCACTTCCCATTGGCTGAACCCAGTGAAACACCACCAGGGCAAGGGGATCTGGGTGATGCAATATACAGGCCCCAGCTCCTGTAGGGCACACAGAACTGTGCAGAAAATAGGTCACAGTGCAGAGTCGGGGATCATGGAGAATACCTAGCAGACCTTCAAGTTAGCTGCAGGAAGTCAACACAGTGCAGTCTTAGTGTAAGCCAGCCAGCTCACACTAGAACAGGACTGTCACCATCCTTATTCTAGCACAGACATCATGTAAGGTTGCTTTTCTCTTTTCTGCCAGCCGCATCACAGTGGTACCTCTCACTGAGCTTCTTATCTGCTCACTCAAAGACGTTTATGGTTGTTACTCCTGAGCCACGCCCTTCCCTATCTTGGATTTAACTCAATTAGGTTTTTGAAGACAAGTGGAAGTTCTTAATTTCTTCCTTGTTATACTTAACTGCAAAGTCCTGATTCTGTCATTCAGCCTATCAGCTACACCAGGGGTTGTAAATGGGTGAATGGAAGAGCATGTAGGTTTTCCTAAGGGGTCCAGCCACTACTCAGCTCCAGCTGTTTGCTGCTGTTGGTGGTGGCTCTGCAAGCCCAGTCAAGGACGGGCGTGGTATGCAGTGGGTGTGGTGTGCAGTGACTGTTCTTAGTGAGTGTGTGCTGTGTTTCAGTGATCAGTGCTGTCCCCGTCCAAGGCCCACTAACCATCACTTCAGTAGCTGTAAGGCTGGATCTTGATCTGTGTCTTGCATAAGCTCACAGCTTTGTGCTTTGTAGAGCCTGCCTTCTGTCCACTCTCCCGTGATGTTCTAGAACCGCTCACTCTTCATTCTTCAAGATTAGACATTAGCCGGGCTTGGTGGCTCAGCCTGTAATCTCAGCACTTTGGGAGGCTGAGGTGAGTGGATTGCCTGAGCCTGCGGGTTCGTGACCAGCCTGGGCAACTTGGCGAGACCTCGTCTCTACAATAAATCAAAAATTAGCCAGGTGTGGTAGTGCACAGACACCATGTAATGTGCATCCTTGGATGACTACAGTTCCTGGAACTACAGGCATGCACTATGGCCCCAAGGAGAAGGTTGGAGCCTGAGGAGGCGTCCTGGGGTTGGAAGACTGAGGGGGAAGGATCACCAGAGCCCAGCAGGTAGAGGCTGTGGTGGCCGTGAGCATGCCACTGCACTCTAGCCTGGGCGACAGAGTGAGACGACAACTCA